CCTAGTCCTAGTCGTAGTCGTAGTCGTAGTAGTAGTAGTAGTAGTAGTAGTAGTAGTAGTAGTAGTAGTAGCAGAAGTGGTAGTAGTAGTAGTTGTTGTTGCTGTTGTTAGTAGTAGTTGTTGTTGTTGTTAGTAGTAGTAGTAGTAGTTAGGAGTAGTAGTTAGGAGAAGTAGTTAGGAGAAGTAGTTAGCAGTAGGAGTAGGAGTAGGAGTAGGAGTAGTAGCAGTAGTAGTAGTAGTAGTGGTAGTAGTGGTAGTAGTGGTAGTAGTGGTAGTAGGAGTAGGAGTAGGAGTAGTAGTAGGAGTAGTAGTTAGGAGTAGTAGTTAGGAGTAGGAGTAGGAGTAGGAGTAGGAATAGGAGTAGTAGTAGTAGTGGTAGTAGTAGTAGTAGTAGTGGTAGTAGTAGTAGTGGTAGTACTAGTAGTAGTACTAGTAGTAGTAGTAGGAGTAGGAGTAGTAGTAGGAGTAGTAGTTAGGAGTAGTAGTTAGGAGTAGGAGTAGGAGTAGGAGTAGTAGTAGTAGTAGTAGTGGTAGTGGTAGTGGTAGAGCAGTAGTAGTAGTAGTAGTTGTTGTTGTTGTTGTATTTGTTGTATTTGTAGTAGCTGCAGTAGTTGTTGTAGTTGTTGTAGTTGTAGTTGTAGTTGTAGTTGCCTGTCTATCTACCTAGTCTCTCTCTCTATCTCTCTATCTATCTATCTATCTATTTATCTATCTATCTATCTATCTATCTATCTATGTATCTATCTGTCTGTCTATCTATCTATCTATCTACCTTTCTATCAATCGATTGATCTATCTATCTATCTATCTATCCATCCATCTATCTATCTATCTATCGATTGATCTATCTATCTATCTATCTACCTATCTATCTATCTATCCATCTATCCATCTATCTGTCTGTCTGTCTGTCTGCAAGCTTGAAAACGCAGCTATTCTGCGAGATTTCCTCAATTTTTGAACTTGACAACGTCAAAAACGAAACAATTCTGCTAGATTTCCTCAATTTTTGAACTTGACAACATCAAAAACGAAGCAATTCTGCGAGACTTCCTCAATTTTCAAAGTTGACAACATCAAAAACGAAGCAATTCAGCGAGACATCCTTCAAGAATGGAAAGTTGGGTGCAGAGCTGACGGCCTCGCACGAATGCGTTTTCAACTACTGCGCCTGCCACGAAAATGTGATGCCAGGTCATACGAAGTGCTGCACCTGTCACGCAAAATCATCTCAGCAAACCTGAAGATCTGATGCTCCAAAATGCAACCCGTCTCAGGAAATCAACGCCCGGACCTCCTAACAGCTCTGATGAACATGTCTCTTGTACTGCGCCTGCCACGGAAAATGCATCTTTCCAGATCCTCTTCAAATGTCCCACGCCTGCGATCGATTTTGGAAATGGCACAAAACCCTTACGCTTTGCTCACTTTTGACAAGGTGCACAATCCCTTGCACCTGCCACGCGAAACGACATCTGAACGTCAAAAAGTGGTCGGAGCATGCAGTGCTTTTAACATGTTGACTTCGAAATGTGCTTCGCGCCACAACGGCGTGCACTTTTTCGACATCTCTACTTCCAAGCGTGCACCGGAGCTGAAGTGTTTTGTACATGTTGACTTCGAAATGTGCTTCGCGCCACAACGGCGTGCACTTTTTCGACATCACAACTTCCAAAAGTGGTCCAAACATGGTGTGTTTTGTACATTTTGACTTCGAAATGTACTTCGCGCCACAACGGCATGGATTTTTTTGACATCGCAACTTCGAAAAGTGCTCCGAACGTGAGGTGTTTTTAGCTTTTTCACTTGTAAATGTGCTTTGGGCCACGACGGCGTGCAATTTTTCATCTCTCATCTGGCCAGCTGGCTCCGCACCCGCCGCTTTAGCGAGCCTACTTTTCGACCCTCCGGAGCCACAAATCATTGGAAAAACACAGTGTTTCGCAACTTTTCTACCTTTTCGCGCACCTGGATCTTCTTTCTTCTGAAACTGTCTCTTTTGTGATATTCTTTCTTCTTCTCTTCTTTTCTCTGACTCTTCCCATCTCTGCTTTTCATCTGTCCATATTGTCGGAAGTTTGACTTCTAAACTTCCTTCGATTAGCGCCATTGATTGCCATTGATAATCACCAAAGTTATAACCCATTACTTTTTTCTACTACCATGCGTCTCGTGCAAGGGTCCAAAGAAACGGTGTGAGACGCTTGGGCACCTGCGAAAAAATGAACCTTTGTCTGGCAAGTTCAAGAATTTCTGGCTGGTAATCTGAAGCAATACAACCCATTGCTTGTTACTTACCCACTATAACCATAGTGGGTAAATTATAATATTTCACTAACCTGAATCTTGCTGAGGATGATTCCCCTGAACTCAACCATGATTCCAGGCATCGGGAGAACAGGGTTCGAGCCGTGATGAAATTTACCCGGGATGATCTGATCAGCCGGGCTCCTGTCCGATGCTCTTCTCGTGCATCACGAACTCCTCCACATTCACCTCAGAATCCCACGAGACACGCCGCGGCATTGGATCCTGCGCCAAGGATGGAGGATGAGTCGCGTCATCGGATGAAAGCTAATGTATAAAAAAGAATGATGTGTTTATATATATATATATATTATGATATGTTTTTTATTCTATTTATTTATTCATGTATTTAATGTATTTATTAGTTTATCTATTTATATTTTTTGCTATATGTATGACATATAATATATATATATATATGTTATAACTAAGTGAGTAGCTAAGTTACTGACTCAGTTACTTGGGGATGCTGAATGTTGGCTGGAGATATATAATAACTCAGAACAGCTATAGCTCATACGAGCGGGATGTGTAATTAGCTTGTAAAAATCTATGGGTATATTATGTGTATCTATATATATATGTATTTTTTTAACTACTGATCCTTTTGTGGGGAAAAACTATTTTCGAGGGACCAACAAGAATCTCAACAATCATGTCAAAAGAATGGCTGTGTCCAAAAAATTGCGTATGCTCCGGTCTATGGCCCCTTTAAGAGTAAGAAAAGGTAATTCAAACCATCACAAATGTGGGCTACCAAATGTTCAAACAAACAAGTCTAATCAGCAATCATCATAGCAAAATATGCATATTATATATATATGAGGGGTTTTCCAATAATCATCTCCCGATTTTCCCAGCTTAGCCCATTTTTTCGTGAATTGTTCCATATTGGTTTCCAATTGTTGGTATCTCATGATGTTTCATTAAATGTCCCCATGAATTTTATATAATACATACATTCAAATCATGAATCTGGATAAAATATAACATAACAATTCACTGAGCTAAAGGTTTCGGCCATTTGGGGGATAGTTACCCCTATCAACCAATAGGTCGTGAAGTCACCAATACAGGTCGTTAATAGTTATCCGACCCATTTCAGACAAACGGAATATCATGTTGTTGATTCTATATCCAATTGATTCCAATTATATCGCCATTATACCCCAGTAACGACTGTTGGTTCTTCTCTTCTCATTTTAGGTGTTACTTCCCCAAGAAATATCCCATATCACCTCCCCAAAAATGCATGGACCCTGCCTATTTTGGGGGTTGGTGCCGAGCTGGAACATCTTCTTCCTAGAAACCCCGATGGAGATTTGGTTTACAGAGGCCAACTCACCCAATGCTAAACCCCAAGATCCATCAAGTATATTGTATACATATATATATATATATGTTGATATCCCCCAATTAAAAAAAAATAAAATAAAACCGTAGAATGCACCGAGTGAACCATAGATATTCATCGAATTCACCATGTTCACTCACCCAAATTTCTGCTGATCTCCCCATCAAAGCGCTGCGAAATTCGGTCGACATTCCGTCCCGACCTCGTTGCGCACCGTGGTCAGCGAGCTTCTCTGATTCCGAAGCGATGACTTGGTGTCCTGCAGCGATGTTCACCGAAGGTCGGGAGTTCACCTATGAAAAATGGGATGTAACCATGAAAAATATTGGAAAAATGCAGATGTAACCACTGAAAATGGGATGACAAAAAGGGGATGTCACCCGGATCCATCGTTGATTTACGATAGGTTTCTGTTGAGAAAACTCCAGAACCGCCAAGTGTTTACGTTTATTATGTTTAGAATTGGTTATAACATGTTAAAACTAAAGTGGGATGGGTGGTAGACCATCTTAGAACTAAAGGACGCCACTTTTTACGGACTCGGAAGTTGGAGAATTTGGCTACCAGGTGGTATGCCATGGGATTTGTCACCATAAGTTAACAATCTTAATAGGAAATATCATCCGCTAATCAAACATGGCACTTGAAAATCCCTGTACATAGCAGTCTGAGTGGCATTTGTTTCTATAAAAAAGGGACTGTCCACTGCAAACTTTTATTTCTGGAGGCTATAATGATGTACGGGTACCATCAAAGTTGGGGCTGCCCTGTTTTCAAACAAGCCTGTACGAAAAAAATCACCGCGGGCAAGCGAAGGACTGGGACTAGGTAAAACCAGGTAAACCCCAATTTCTGTGGGTGTGACCTGTTTTTGCCGGCAAAACCGCGATTCCAACCAAAGAAAATGAATGATTCATGTTAATTCATATTGTCGCATTGATATTCCCAATGGTAACCGGCTTAAACCCGGTAGCCATGACTGCGGGGACAAGCCAGACAAGCCATCGCCTGGATTCCTAGGTATCACAAAATGGTTCACGACTTCAGACCTTACCTGGTCACGACTTCACCATCGCTTCTCGTCCTCGGACATGGCCGTGGAAAGAGAACTCCTCTGCTTGTTCAGGGATGACTTGTCCTGCGAGTCGCTGAGCACTGGGTATGAGTACGGGTGCAGTTAAAGCCCTTTACCAGCTATAAATGGTTGTAATTAATGGGGTTATCATTCCATAAATGAGGGTTATCGAAGGAAGTTTAGAAGTCAAACTTCCGACAATATGGACAGATGAGGAGCAGAGACGGGAAGAGCCAGAGAGAAGAGAAGAGTAGAAGAGAGAAG